CGGGACCAAAACGAAGGAACAAATCGTATAAGTTAATGTCTAATACTATAATGTTTTTGTCCTGTTATTAAAGATATGTTAGAGTTACAGCCGGTGATAGTTTTTTCTGTGACCAGTAAATATGAGTGGACGGTGACATGTGCATTCGCATATCATTGGTTAGTTGTAGAGGTGCGCTTCCCACTGTTTTATGATGGGGAATATGTATAATAATTATCATTAGTACTATTTCTAATTAATTATTTTTGTCAATTTATCCTAAATAAAATTCCATTGCACATTGTTTCTCTGTTTCCATATACATTATGATACAAACATATTATAATTGGAAAAGGATCACAAAAAAACTTTGTAAATTCCTGTTTTATTTTTCCATATAGGAAGATTTTCAACCCAACATTGTTTTTTTTTTTGGCGGTCAAAATTAACTCTTGAGATTACTCAAGCGGTAGAAAAATGAAATGAGCCCGTCTAAACCAGTAGCAATCAAACGAATTTAGAAGTATTATTATAATATACACCAACTAAATTATTTTATTTTGTTTAGTTTGCTGAATAAATTAAAGCAACATATTTTGACACTTGAGAGTTGAGAGGCAAAGGAGTGAGTAATTAGTAAATTACTTTACCACTTACCCAGTAAGAATGGATTAAGAGATTGAAAAGTAAACCGGATATAACCGACCAGTTGAACCAGTAAGTCCAGTAGTAAAAACGTTAACAGGCTGCAACTTCTTCGCTTTATCTGCGGAAGACACACGCTTGAGAGATCTTTCCCCAAATTCGAAAGAACCCTAATTTTCCGATCTTCACATTTCCTCTGCCAATTGATCTACAGGCGAATTCCGAATCGAGATATGGGTAATACAGACAAGCTCATGAACCAAATCTTCGATTTGAAGTTCACGTCGAAGTCTCTGCAGAGGCAGGCGAGGAAGTGCGAGAAAGAGGAGAAGACAGAGAAGCTGAAGGTGAAGAAAGCCATTGAGAAAGGGAACATGGATGGTGCTCGGATCTATGCGGAGAATGCCATACGGAAGCGCAGCGAGCAGATGAACTATCTCCGTCTCTCATCTCGCCTTGACGCTGTTGTAGCTCGGCTCGATACTCAGGCCAAGATGGCCACAATCACCAAATCCATGACTAACATCGTCAAATCTCTCGAATCTTCACTCGCCACAGGTATTTCACTTTCTCTATAATCAAAAATTAATTGAATCTTTCGTTTATCCACCACTTTGATTTCGTGTTGATGTTATCAGTATATTGATAAAAGTCTGCTCCTTTGTTTTTGCTTGATTGAAGAAGTATTGGGATTGATTGATACTCCGAATTATATGATCATATTCATACATTAGGGTTTGATTTTTATGAATTAGTGAACAATCACCATGGCTCAAGGCGTATTTGTTAAGTTTCTGGATATGTTTAGGTAAGCTAGACTTGAATGGTTTCGTGGAAGGACAAAAAAACTCACTATTCTGGTTGTTTTTGTTCTCCTCCTGTGAAGTTGTAGAACAATATAGGGACTTGAGTACACATAATAATACTCGTACACAACTTTGTACTGATACAACTCGGACTCTCATCATCGGATTTGTTCTTTGTAACAGGCAACTTACAGAAGATGTCAGAGACGATGGATTCGTTCGAGAAACAGTTTGTGAACATGGAAGTTCAAGCTGAGTTTATGGAGAACGCAATGGCTGGTTCTACTTCATTGTCGACTCCAGAAGGAGAAGTCAACAGCTTGATGCAGCAAGTAGCAGATGATTACGGTCTTGAAGTCTCTGTTGGACTGCCTCAGCCTGCTGGTCATGCTATTCCTACCAAGACTGAAGAGAAAGTTGAGGAGGACGATTTGTCAAGGAGACTGGCCGAGCTTAAAGCCAGAGGATAATTAACTTAACATAACAAAAATATATGTGCTTGCTTTACCCCTATCGAGATGTTGATACTATTAATCCCTGATCATGGGCATGTTTATGTAAATTGCTCACTCTGGAATATGCTTTTGTTTATATAAAACCTTGAGTTGCTCTAGCACAGAGCATACTTTGCTTCTACATTACTCTTATATGGTTCTGACCTCTATACATCAAACACACTACTTCACACTGTCCATTTTCCTGCATTTTTGTGTATGGATGGTACAAGCGTTGATTATTTGGATGATATCCCTGGTAATACTGTCTCCAGTTTGTTCAGGTCCATAAGGAGTACACTGCACTTTGATTTCTCATAAGTACATATACTTCTTATCCTGGCATGCAACTTTTGTTTAGGAAAGGCTCGCTAGCAATAATCATTTTCAAGTTTGTTTTGTGCCTCTTTTTTTAGTCAATCACAGATTCACAAGGATAAACTGATGGTGTCTTTTG